AACTCAGATACAAATGCCCAGCCCGAGGAAGAGGTCATCATTTTTCCTGCAATCACGCAAAAGGTAGGTAAGTTTGAGCCCTCTACTTACTCGTCTCTTCTGCCCGTGCCCCATTCCCTTTCTCAGATGTCCCAGACCAGAGTGGTCTGGGGTGGAGGCCGGTCAGAGCAGACGGTGGCACGCAGCGATGGACGCTGCAGAGACAGCAAAGACATCCACACATAGTCTTCCCTCTGCAGCTCCTATTACCAAGGAGAACTGTTTTCTCTGAGCCCGAACTGGGGTCTGGGACCTCAAGGTGGTGGCGCGGAGTTCACCAGATCCTCATCTGTTCTGGCTTATTGTGACAGGACAGGGGAACGGTGAGGGACGGCCAGGGACTTGTCACCTTACAGGTGAGTCTCCACAGCCCCTACCCCTGGCACCTTAGGTGAGCTGTGCTCCACACCTCTGACAGCTCTCTCAGTCTGCGCTCTCTGATCCTGATTCCAGTCCGGGGGTCTGTGTAGGTTAGTTTTTCTCCTTGAGCCTCAATTTACTTATCTATAGATGTTGTTGTTAAGTGCCATTGAGTCGGCTCTGGCCCATAGCGACCCTGTATAGGGTTTCCAAGGAGCAGCTGGTGAGCTTGAACCGCCAATCCTTGCAGTTCAAACCGACTTTGCAGTCCAGCGCATGACCACACCAAGACTCCCTCTAGATAGGACTAACCAGATATGTGGCCTCTCTTTCTCATAGTGCTGTGGTGGATGTTAAAGAGAGTGGATATGGCTTGAAAGTGCTTTATAAACTTTAGGGTAAACTATAAATGCAAATTCTTATTATTTCATCCAAGAGGCACTCTAGACTGGTGCTTAAGAGTGTGGTTTGAGTCTTAGTACTGCTTTATACTAGTTATGTGACCTGCGACAAGTCACTTAATGTCTCTGTTCTTAACCACTATTGATCAAGTACCTCCTATGCCCCAGGCATTATTATGGGAATGTAGGGTATAAAGGTGCAGCTTGCATTCTAGTTGCAGGAAATAGTTGAAACTAAACAAAAACACTGACGGTAAGCATGTGTTTGCTGTTATCCTCTCTCTCTTTCTCTGTCTCACACACACACACACACAATGTTATTATCCCTTAAGCTCCGGAGCCACAGAAGCAGGGATTGTTCCAGGGGGAGAACCAAGGAAGGAGGAAGGCAGGGCCGCTGGGAGAGAGGGCCAGTTCCACCCCTCCTGGAGTACCCCTTATTTTGGGACCTTGCTTGCTGATTTAGAGCCAACTTGAGGAGCAGCAGCAGATCACAGTTGAAAGCAAACAATTTCTGCATTGAACACAATCCCTGGAATTGCTTCACCCAAGATGGTGCCTCTTTAGGGGTAGAGAGCGGTGTTCGTCTGCATTGCACAGTCCCAGGCTTGGCCTAGCCTCTAGTGTAGACATTCCTCAGCAAGAGTGCCCACAGTTTCCCCGGATGTTTCCATTTCAGTAGCTGTGAACTGGACAGAAAGGCCTAGAAAGAGGGAGAGAACTTTCTGATCCAGTTTTCATTTTGTGTCCTTTTTTGGTCCAATCTCAAACAGTTGGGATGGTCAGATTTGTGGCTAGGAAGACAAGGGGGACTCTGGGAGGCTGGAGAGGGAGCGAGCAAGGAGATAGCTGCAGAGTGGGATAGAGAGAGAGAGAGAATTGTTTCTCTTGTAGTTTTGTCTAGATAACTGGAGGCCTCGACTATGGTCAGAAGTCAAAGTTCCTTTGGCAATTTGATGCCTAATGCAGAACAAAACAGATAAAACACTTGGGATGGATGAGAGCATGTGTCAGTTATCAGACCTGGGGGTGGAAAACAAGGTGCAAATATCAGAGAGGGTGAGTAGATGTGGGTAGAAAGAATCCCCTGTTAGACTATCTTGCACAGTGATGACTTGCTGTGGCTACAAAGGAAAACAAGCCAAGCTAATTGGCAGCAGATGGCTGTGGGGCTACAGGAGGGTGCAGGAAGCCCAGGGAGGCCCACCCTTCCCCACTTACTGGAAGCTCTGGAAGGGCAGGGAGGAGGCTCCCAGAGGACCAGAGTGACTTAGTAGTACAGCACACAGCTTCTGAAAGGAAATGAGTAGATAGTGTACACATTGTTTAGAACTGAATGAACAAATGGAATGAACACCCCTCCTCTCAAGTGAGAAGAATACAATTAGTTAACAGGAAAAGCCCAAGAATATGTCTTTACCAGGATTTCAGGTGAGTGTCCATATGCCCAAGAAGCTTTCTACCTGCTCCTGGGAGGTGAGGCTGGAGTAGAGTCGTAGAGTTGAGAGGGAGACTCGAGTCAAAATCGGAGGCTCCAAATCCTGGCTGCACGCGTCAGTATCATCTGCAAGACTGAAGCCGACTTGAGCTTTCGGTGCTCTGCAGGCTGTGTGAGGCAACCCTCCGAGGTGCAGCAGCCTGTGACCGACATGATGTACGCTTTACAAACTTACCACAGAGAATGAATGTGAGAAAACCATGGAGGCCACATGCGCGTAGAATAAGAAAGAGACACCAAATTTAGGTCCAATCTGTACTGAGGATGAGTGTTCAAGTCATTAGTTGTGGTATTTAAACAGTCTTCACTGCCTCAAAGGAGTTCTGGCAGATAAGCAATGGACTGACTGCTAACTGCAAGGTTGACAGTTCAAACCCACCAGCTGCTCCTTGTGAGTAAGATGATGCTCTATCAGAAACCCTTATATATAGGGTTGCTGAGTCAGAATCAACTTGATGACAAAAGGTTTAGATTTGGGATTTTCACTGCCTTACGAGAGCTATCAGGTGTCCTGGGTGGCGTGCGGGTTAATGCGCTGGATTTCAAGGGCAGTTTGAACTGCAAGGTTGGCGGTTCAAGTTCACCTTGGAAACCCCTATACAGGGTCTCTATGAGTCAGAACCAACTTGACGCCACTTAACAACAATAGCAACAAGTGAGGCAAGCAGATTTTGGGAAGGAAAAGTGAAGAATTGGTCATAAAGACAGCCCACCGTAGCCACTGAGTCGATTGTGTGACTCATAGCAGTAGAGTTTCCAAGACTATGAATCCTTACAGAAGCAGACCGCTTCATTCCCCCCCTCAGATCAGCTGGTGGGTTTGAATTAATGACCTTGAGATTAGCAGTCCAGTGCTTAACCCACAGTTCCACCAGGGCTACTTGATCGTGAAGCTGATGAAGAAAAGCAAGTGTAGAAAACTAATATTTTATTTGATGTCAGTGGTCTGTTGGACAGTAATAGATTATGTGAACAAAAAAAACCAATGAAAAAATCTATACCCAGCCCTACTTGGTGGTGTGCCAGGGAGTCGGTTCCGACTCACAGCGACCCTGTGTATGGTTTCCAAGAATATAAATCTTTACGGGAGCAGACAGCCTCATCTTTCTCTTGCGCAGCACCTGGTGGACCCAAACTTGTGACCTTGTGGTGAGCAACCTAATGGGTAATCCACTAAATGACCAAGGTTCCTGCAGCCCTACTGTTGTTGCTGTTGTTAAGTGCTGTCTAGCCGGGTTTCGTGGAGCAGCTGATGAGCTTGAACCACCGACCTTGCAGTTCAAACCGATTTTGCAATCCAGCGCATTAACCCACAGTGCCCTGCCAGGACTCCTTGTAGCCCCTTTAGAATGATTAAGTCAGCAGTTCTGTGAGTGGAGCTGGGTAGGGATGCTAATGTGCAACTCTTTTGAGAACTGGTTTGGGTTGTGGCCAAGGAGGAAATGTCTGGGCTTCGGTGTGAGCCTGTTAGTCCTTCATCTTGGCTGCACATTAGGGCCCTAGAGAGGGAGATGAAAAGAAAACAAAATTGCTAGGTCATTCCACAGACTCTTTAGATTAGTGTCTCTGGGGGTGCGACCCAGGCATTTTCTAAAGCTCCCCAGGTGGGGCCAGTGGCACCAGCGTTGATGACAACTATCAGACAAAGAAAGAGTAGTCTTGAGTGACATTTCTGTTGCCTGTCTACTGTCTGACCTTGAGACCACTCTGTGTGTCTCAGACTTTCCCTTCCTGTGCTTGTAAAGAGGCAACACAGTCCCTTCCTTACCTGATAACCCTAACACTCTCTTTAGCTGTTTTTGGTGTCAGTTCAACTCTTAGTGAGCCTGTGTACCATTTTTGTGGCACTGTGCGTTAATGCGCTGGACCGCAAGGTCAGTGGTTCAAACTCACCAGCCGCTCCTTGGAAACCCTATACAGGGTTCTCTATGAGTTGGAACTGACTCGATGACACTTCACAACAACAACATAGAGTTTTTTAGGAGTGGCTGCTGGGTTTGAGCCATTGATCTTGTGGTTAACAGTCTAGTGCTTGTTCTGCAACACCACAGCTCCATGTTAATATATGAGAAATGGTTTTTGTAAACTGTTACATATTACACATATATGGAGTCTCAGGGTGGCACAAATGGCTAAGCACAACTGAAAGGTTGGTGGTTCGAACCCACCCAGAGGCATCTCAGAAGGAGGTGTTGGCAGTCTGCTTCTGAAAGGTCACAACCTTGAAAACCCTATGAAGCAGTTTTACTCTGACACCTGGTGTTGGTTGCTGAGTTGGAACCAACTCCACATGGTGGCTGGAGAGTGAAGTGTAGATTTCTGGTTGACCATGTACTGCTGGGTCTTTCTGGTGTTTGTTGTCTTCTAGCTGTCTTACAAGCTGTCACAGGACTTGGACTGAGTTCTTTCCCGCCTTTTCTGGGGCTAGGAGACCTCCACAAAGACCTCTGGCTGGTAAACTTGGCGCTCTCTGGAGGAGAACCAGAGATGTGGGGATTGCCCCCAGATCACATAGATACGTTTCAGGGAGCTTAAATCCACCTCTCGTCTTCATTATGTCTGGATGAACTTTTCCTGGGCTACATGGTTTTGCAGGGCAACTGGGACAACTGAACCTTTGGCTAGTGGGTACTTAATCATCAGTATCACTTCTCACCCTTCACAAAATGATGTTTCAGGGTACAAAGTGAGCAGCATCAGAGATGGCCCCTGTCAGCGTGAACCTGAGGACCACCATCCTCTGCCTCTTGGTCTGGGCTCATCTGGCCACCAGTGACCGTGTGTACATCCACCCTTTCTACCTCATCACCTACAATGAGAGCAGCTGTGAGGAGCTAGGGAAAGCCCAGGAGGAGGAACGACCAGACCCGACCTTTACTCCTGTTCCGATTCAGGCCAAGATGGCCCCTCTGGATGAGGAGGCCCTGAGGGCCCAGCTGGCTTCTGCAGTTGAGAAACTAGAGGAGGATGACAGGTTGAGGGCCCTGAGAGTTGGAACGCTCATCAACTTGAAAGGCCTCCACGTGTACACACTGCTGAGCAAACACACGACCCATATATTCTCCCCAGTGGCTCTCTTTGGCACCCTGGCCTCTTTCTACCTGGGGGCCTTGGACCCCACAGCCAGCAAATTACAGACATTCCTAGGTGTTCCCGTAGTAACTCAGAACTGCACCTCCCGACTTGACGGCCAGAAGGTCCTTTCTGCCCTGCAGACTATCCAGGGCTTTCTTGTTGCCCAGGGAGGGGGGCCCAGGGACACCCAGCTGCTTCTGTCCACGGTTGTGGGCCTCTTCACAGCCCCCGGCCTGCGACTGAAGCAGCCATTCGTGCAGGGCTTGGCGCCCTTTGCCCCTGTGACCCTTCCCCGCTCCCTAGACTTGTCCACAAACCCGGATCTCGCCGCTGAGAAGATCAAGAGGTTCATCCAGGCTGTGACTGGGTGGAAACTGAGCCTACCTCTGGCAGGGGCCAATCCAGACAGCACCCTGCTTTTCAGCACCTTCATCCACCTCCAAGGTAAGTTCGAACCTCAGGTCTGCTTGAGCCCTGAGTTGGCGGACCCAAAGAGGGGCAATTCTCTTGTCTTCAGGGAGTCAGCGTTACTGCTACTTCTGAGTGAAGCAAGGCCTGAGCTCAGAGATGGGATGGGTGGATGGGAGGAGGGGCTGCCCATGGGAGTCCTTGGATAAGCAGTGACTGAACACCTACCTCTCCTCCTGCTGCCTTATCATGTGCTGCTAACCTGTAAACCAAACTAGTTTCTGTGGAGTTGATCACGCCTCATGGTGCATGTCAGTTATACAAGCATGCTCCATGGGGTTTTCAGTGGCCATGTTTTTCAGACGTAGATTGCCAGGCATTTCTTCTGAGGCAACTCTGAGTGGACTTGAACCACCCACTTTTGGGTTAGCAGCTAAGCACTTGACCACTAGTGTCACCCAGGGAAATGCACAGCTACTGGGCACAGACTTCAATTATTTCACATGATGTGGTGAAGAGTATTGTTACCTTTACTCGTGGATGAGACCATGGAGATTCAGACATGTAAAGTCACTTGTGGAAGATCACACGGGCGCATCTGGGCTCGGGCCCTTTAGGAAGATGGAGATTGAGGCTCAGGGGCCCCTGTAGAAAGAACTCATTTGCATATTGAAATCACTATCGTCCTGGGATGGGACATTATGAAAAAAAATCTGTGCTACAAAGTGTGCTTATTACTCATTCATTTGGCATATAATTGTGGAGAGTTTGCTCCAGTGTGAATAGCCTCCAGGCCCCACCCCCATGCCACCTGCCAAAGAGCAAAGGGAGAGAAAACATGCAAATATCCTGGTGTTAGGCTGCAAGTACTCTAGAAAGATGTCACTGCTAAGAACTGCTAAGAGCCACCAGGGAAGGGGAACACTCTGGGGTGTACGGAAGGCTTTAGTGGGGTGCCCTGGGGTAGGATTATGGCTAGGTGGAAGGGCATTCCAGGCAGCAAAGATGTGAGAGAAAGCACTGCTCTTAAGGTAAGAACAGAAACCAGTGAGTGGTTTGTTGACCAGAGCTTACAAAGGAGACAGAAAGGGGGAGAAGGATTCCTGGTGTGGTGTTATAGGATAAGCACTGGATTGCCAACTACAAAGTCAGTGGTTCAAACTGACCAGCCACTCTTCAGAACCCCTATACAGCATCGCTATGAGTCAGAAGTGACTTGACGACGCTTAACAACAACAGGATTGGGACGAGACTTTGAGGGCTCCTGAGACCCTGAGAGACTCCTGAGTTGGACCTCATGAGTGGGTAGACGGTTGAAACAGGGTGCTCCGCGGCCACTGTGGCAATCTATGCTGTGTGGGTCAGAGGCAAGGAGGGCAGTCTGCAGGTTGTGCAACAGTCTAGGCAAACTGCCGGGGACGTGCACTCTAGAGGTGGGCGAGTCCACAGGCAGGGGTCAGGGAGGAGTGTGCTTGAGAGACATTGACAGGCTGGGCATCCTTGTGGGGGTCAGAAAGAAGTGAGAAGCTGAGAGATAGGACTGGGGGACAGCATGATTTTCTACACCGGTAGGGTTTTTGGAGTCAACTGAGTAACAGGAAGAGACCCATTCCCCTTGGGTATGGGTGAGACCCGAGAGGTCTGCTTATTGCAGTGGGGTTTTATTTATTTATTTTTGGGTTGGAATCAATACAAGAAAGACAGAAGGGCTCTTGGTACTGGTCTACCTAGTTTCTCCTCATATTCTTAGGAACACTCCAGAAAGGCCCTTTCTAAGTGGGGCGGGGGGGGGGAGCACGCACACCATGACATATCAGGGGGCTCACAGATGGCCTTCAGGGGAGGGAGTGATTGGGACCAGGCGTGGGCTGCTGTAATTAGACCTTAAGCGCAGTGGCAGCAAACAGGATTTATTTCTCCGGTGACAGCCCAAGCCAAGGCTAACCCTCCTGTGGTCTCCTCATTCTGCCATCCTAGCTTCCTGAATGTCCCCACCACTCTCTGAGTTTAAGTTGCACATCTTGCCTCTGCTCAAATCCCACATCTGCCCCTATCAGCAAGGATGCTGAGACCTGGGGTCCTTATTCCAGGCCGTGTGCCCGGGGGTATGCACTGCACTGTAGGGAGGGAAACTGGCCGGCTGGATAGGCATGGCCTGGCCTTAACTGGCCAGTGTCTACGTGGGTAAGTTCCTTCAGCGCTTTGAGTCATGGTGTCCTTGAGAAGAAGGTAAATGTAGGTAGATGTTAAACCTCAAGTTCAGGGTCTGGCATTCAACAAGTGGCAGTTAATATTGCTGTTTAATTGAATACCAAATGGCTGTGCTTTGGAGGAGGAAGACTGGAAGAGCACCCAGGGCGGTGTGTTGTACTGAGGAACACGTGGTATGGTTTTGGACTATGCTGGGGAAGAGAGGGAGACGCCAGGAAAACTGTGGGCTGGTATCAGGGCTTTTCAGGCTGCCTGTGAAAAGTTTGCTTTCCTTAGAAGCACTCATTTTTCTCTCGGGGGACTCGGAGACTTGGCAGAGCAACCCTCTCTGGGGACTTGGCAGAGCAACTCTCCTCCTGAGCCTCGCCACTACCCATTCACCCCCAATTCCACCTTTTCCTGTCCTGTCTGGGTTTGCAGGGATAATAAAGGGATTCTCCCTGCTGGCGGAGCCCCAGGAGTTCTGGGTGGACAACACCACAGTGTCCGTGCCCATGCTCTCAGGAACTGGCACCTTCCAGCACTGGACCGACACCAGCAACAACTTCTCGGTGACTCGCGTACCCTTCAATGACAATGTCTGCCTGCTGCTGATCCAGCCCCAGCATGCCTCAGACCTGAGCAAGGTGGAGGCCTATACTCTCCAGGTCGACTTCCTAACCCGCAAGAAGAATCTGGCTCCTCGGTACGGCTGCCTAGAAACACATTCTGAGTCTCAGGTCACCCCCATTGAAGGGGAAGGGCCATGTTACACTTTCTGCATAGGCGTGGAGCAGGGAGGCCAGGGTGGGCGATTGGCTACCCAGGTGACCTCAAGTGCTGACACACTGCCACAGTGTTTCTGGGGCAGACTATGTATTCACCCACCCAGCCACCCACGTATCCATCCATCCATTCGTCCATCCATCCATCCATCCATCCATCCATCCATCCATCCATCCACTTACCCATCAGTTTATCTATCCATCCACTTACCCATCCATCCATCCACCCACCCATCTACTTACCCATCAATTCATCTATCCACCCATCCATCTATCCCCATCCACGTATCCATCCATCCATCCATGCATCCATGCATCCATGCATCCATCCATCCATCCATCCACATCCACGTATCCATCCATCCATCCACAGATCCATCCATCCATCCACCAACCCACCCATCTCTATTGATATCTCCATTTCTCTTTCTAGCTTCAGGTAAAGTGAAGGGGAAAAGAAAGTTTCATTTTTCTATGATTATGTGTACTCACCTGTATGGGGACATATATTACCGCCCATCCCTCCCCACGCATGCACAATCTTCAGCATTTCAAACATTTGTTAGTAATGGGCTTTCCAGTAGGATCTGAGTTCTTAAAGAGACCAAGGGGCTGGGAGATTTCTCAGGATGTTTCCTTTGACTCACAGAACGCCCATTCCCTGGATAGCCCTTATTTGCTACACAGGGAGGTTTCCATTTGTTAAAACAAAAGCACAGCCTTGTCCTGCCTCTCCGGCCAGGCTGCTGAAGTCAAGGAGTCTGTTTCTGAGATAAGCACTGTGACATACCATGGGGCGGGGGGGTTCCACATATGGCCTTCAGGAGGCAACTTTCTTAAGTTTTTGGGTGTCACTGGAAGCATTCATAGATTCTCAGAGCTACTAAATGAAGAAGAGGTAGACTTTTCTATATGGAAGCTATGTGCTCTGGCAGATGGCATGTGCCCAGCACTGCGACCAACATCACAGAGTCTTCCCATTTCTCATCCTTCCTTAAGCATTTCTTCAGGAAGGACAGAGAGCTACTGAAAGGGGGCTGCTGCTGGTGGTGGTGGTGTGCCGTGGAGTCGGTTCCAACTCATAGTGACCCTATACAGGGTTTCTGAGGCTGCAACTGTTTACGGGCTGCATCTTTCTCCCTTAGAACAGCTGGTAGTTTTGAACTGCTGACCGTGAGCTTAGCACCCCAAATTGTAACCACTATACTACCAGAGCTCTTTGAAAGCTGGCTAACAGGTGATTATGTGTTGTTTCAGAGAACACTTATATTTTAATTACCCAAGCAATACAGCTTCAACGCAGCTCACCTAAAAACAGAAGAAAACAAAGAACAGTCTATCTCCCAGAGGTTAGCCCTGTTAAATTTTGTATGTCCTGGTCATGTGTAGCAAGGGACCTGAAAGGGTTTTATTGTGTTTGTTGCAGAAAAAGGATTCTCAAGGATTAGGGCAACCTAGCTAGGCATGGTGGGCAAAATGTCTTCAGAGACTCATTTCCAAGTTCCCTGGTACCCTTGTTCTGAGCCAGCCCAGTCTCTGGTGCCTGGAACCTTTGTGTGGGAGTCTCTGTGGAACTTTCCTGAAGCAGATCCTCTCCCCAGGACTGTACACCTGACTATGCCGCAGCTGGTGCTGGAGGACGCCTATGACCTGCAAGAGCTGCTCACTCAGGCCAAACTGCCCACCCTGCTGGGCCCGGAAGCGCACTTGGGCAAAATTAGCGACACCCATCTCCGAGTTGGAAAGGTAGCGTGGGGGGCCACCACGAGGATGCGTAGGATAGAGTGAGCACACAGGAAGATTGGGGGTGGGGGAAGGAGAGGCATGTAGGGTTATGTGGGTATGCTTCAGGGCAGGAGAGGATGGGTTCTCCAGGGACAGGTGGAGAGCATCCAATACCCCCAGACAACTCTCTCCTCCCATGTGGCTGTTCCCTCAGTCAGACCCTCCCCAGATCTTAGGGCCAGCCTGGGACCAGGATGTGGAAAGCAAGGCATTCTGGGCCCTGAGAGGGACGGCATGCTTCCTTGTGCCCTCAGTGCCTCACTCACTTCGCCCCAGCCCCAATCCTCCTGCACAGCTCCCACTTTATGAAAACACTAGGTGTAGGTACCACATATGCTAGGGCGTCTCCACAGCCACCAGCCAAGCTTCTGGGGTGTTCTGGGCACCATGCTGGCCCTGGGGGAGGAGCGGGAGCACTCATGGGCTTGCTCTCAGACCTCACAGGGGCTCCGAAGGATGGACAGAGTCCCATGTGTCCCTTTGGGCAGCAGTTGGGTCTGCCAGGGACAGTGGGCAAGTGGAGGCGGGTGGCTGGAGGGACGCTTTGAAAGGAACTGCCACAACCCCCCAGCCCCCAGGCTAGTGCTGCTCACCTCTGAGGTCCCTTGCCCATTGTACTTTCTATTACCATCCCGCCTAAAGTCGCTCTTTTGCAGGTGCTGAACAGCGTCCTCTTTGAACTCAAAGCTGATGAGGGCAAGCAGCCCCCCGAGTCAGTCCAGCAGCCTGACATGCCCAAAGCCTTGGAGGTGACCCTCAACAGGCCATTCCTGTTTGTAGTCTATGAGCAACATGCAGCCACTGTCCATGTCCTGGGCCGGGTGACCAACCCGAAGAGCAGGCCATGAACCTGCCAGGGTGCCACATGGGACCCCATGCTGGAGTGGGAGGCCTCAGATGGCAGGCGTGAATTTGTCAATAGTCTTCTCCTCATTCATCTGCTGTGCACGGGAGAGGAGTTGTTTCTCCCTGGTAGAGGACATCTGTGTGTGTGGAGCAGGAACTTGGCGGTGCCCCAGACTTCCCAAGGTGGATAGCTGCATTGTGGCTAACAGGTTGTGGAGGCCAGGATCAGAGCCAAGCAAGACCACTGCCTTGGAAAGAGTCCGCACAAACTTAGTTTAGAAACCAAGAAGCGTTTCCTTTTTAATTGAAAACAGAGATTGGAGTTTGAAATGAATACCAATTTTTCATTGCCTTGGGTTTATATTCTGCTTATCGAATGTGAGACTATGGAAATGACTAGGATGTAGTTCTCCACAATATGTTTTTATTTTATGTACCTTTTGTGCTTTTTGAGAAGTGGCTTAAGAAAAACACAATCATCTGAATTTATGTTAGGCTGTAATACCATGATTGATTACCCTTGTTATTAATTAATAAATGTCATGTAGCAATAAGCAACAGAACAGATATGTGTAAGTTAACAGATCGATTGTATAAACACAGTGCTTTGGGGACTTTCGATTCGTGTTTTGGATGGAATTTCCATGGAGGGCTTGGACTAATATTTACCAACTTCTCATTGAGAAGTTTAAGGCAGTGCCTTTCTCTGGGCACTTTCATCCATAGCAATGGGGATCATCTTGTTAGGGTCATGGACAGATAGACACTTGTAGGGGACACTGTATCTCACTGTTGTTAAGTGCAGTCCAGTCAGTTCCAACCCATAGTGACCTTGTATAGGGTTTCCGAGGAACAGCTGGTCAGTTTGAACAGCCGATCTTGCGTTCAAACTGACCTTGCAGTCTGGCGCACTAACCCATAGTTAACCCACACACAGTGTGATGGACAGATGGGCACTTGCAGGGACGCTGTACCTCACTGGCAGTTGATAAAGGGGTTGGGCAGGCTGAACGGTTTCCCTATTGGTGACATAGGGCCATGCTGTTGCTTATAGTCTGTGCCTGAGGAGCAGAAGATAGAGAAATAAACCTTCACAGATAAATATTAGTGAAGTGCTTTGTTTTTTTTTGAAGTTTTTATTGTGAATTGAGTGATCATTTACATGAGAGAACATCAGCTTTACATTCAGCCTATTGTATTTTGTTTCATTGCAATGATTACAATCCCCTCCATGAATCATCATTCAACAGCATTTGCTTCCATTCCCTCTGGGATTTTTTGGATGTACACTCAGGAATATATAACCATTCAAACAACCAAAGGGCACACCCTGCACGCCAGTCCCCCAGCCGCCAGCACACAGCCCCTCTCCCTCCTTGACTCCAGAGTCCCCAGCTGCTCCATGTCATCATCTCTGCCTCCATCTCTGGCATCGCCCGCTTCTCTGGGTAGGGTCAGGCACTCCACTCTTCTCCCTTAATGGTCCCAGGGACCTCAGCTCCTGGACTGCAAGATCAGCCACTCCCCTCCTTTTGTTACAAAATGTCTACCCTTACATTTGCAAAAATCACAATCAGTCCTGATATCCTGGTAGCAATTATTGTGAAGTGCTTTCTGTTGAGGTCTCTGCCCCCACCCCCCTCAGCCTGGGTGGGATTAGACCTCTACCTCCTACATCTTAGATCTGGCTGCATGCCCAGTTTTGGGGGTTCACTTAGATGATGTTAGTGGCTTCAGCAGTATCTGTGGGAGCTGCCCTATCACTCTGTTCATTGACTGAGCCCAGTGGGAAGCCACAATTCCAGGGACTGGCTGGAGAGGGAGGCTGGTCCTCTGACTCAACCAGGGCCCATGGCAGGGCAGTAAAACAGCAAGGGTACTTAGCCTTTCACCTCATGTTCCCATGTCTCCCCAGCTCCAGTGTTGAGGGCAGTGTGTTCTTCCCACCACCATGAGTGTAACTCAAAGTGACTGCCTCTCTGGGTCTCAGCCCTCATGGGCAAATGGGGAATGCTTAAGTGAAGACTGGAATAACCACTGCCCTGTTCACATCACTCAGTGTGTAAGAGACAACTTCCTGCCCACAAGTCCTGCTCTGCGAAAGTAGAGCATCAATGGTTGTCCCTGGCTCAGTCATAGCTGATGAAACAAGCTGGAACGGAGCAGAATTTGCAAACTGTGACTTAACAGGAACGATAAAATGATAGCCTGCTGGAAATTTAATCTCTCTCTTAGAAAACAGGGGCGGCATATGCATCGCATAGCAACGGAATCCGAAGGGCAGAGTTAGAAACAACCCTGCCCTACTCAAAGATGGCAGCTAACTGCGTGGCTCTGGGTATGTTGCTCTCCACAGTTCTGGCAATGATAGTCTCCCACATCAGGCCCCTGAAAGGGTTCTCTACACTTCCGAGTTTCCCATTCCAGGACGTCGACTCATGAATGTTTGTATTGTTGTCCCACTTTACCTAAATGAAAAAAAACTCACATCTGTTCCGATTTAACCCTGTGGCCATGATGGAATTTGTGCTAACCAGTTTACAGTCCTGGTGCTGGGCTTCGCCAAGTATTTCCTTTTAGTTATTGTCTTCACAAGACAGTAGCTGGAACTGATGCTTCCAGTGACCCATTCAACAGGACTCCTGCCAAGTGGCAGCTGAGGTGGAGTTGTCTCTTGGGAGAACCTCATGTCTGGAGTGGCCATGGGAAGCAGGCAACAACCCTCCTTGACCCTTTTTGTTTTTAAAACTTAAGATTTCTGCTGATCTAAGCAGCGTGTGCCCATTTCTCAGCATAACCCATGTCCCTTTCTGACAGGGTAAATACAACACAGTAGTCAGCGTTTCAGTAAGCTGCTATCGGCGATTCCTGTTCTCTAACACAAACGTTGTGAATTCTAGGTACTACCCACAGTCCTCTTGTTCACACAACCTGGGGGATTCTGCTCACTCGAGTGGGACTCTCTGGTTCCTCCTTTGTGATTCACCATCATGAACCTCTCAACACTTGCTGAGTTTTTCTACTCTCGAAGGCCCAGTGTGGGTACGTGCCTGGTACAGGTCCTCCAATTTGTTTTTTTCTGAAACAACTATTGGTTTTCCTGAAACAACTAAGTGTCTTGGGAGAACTGGAAGCTCAAGGAACAGAGTGCTTTAAGTCTTGATATTTCAAATGTGCTGCTCTGACCAGCAACATCAGTATCCCCTGGGAGACTTGTTAATTGCTGTGGAGTCGGTTCCAACCCATAGTGACCCTGTATAGGATTTCCGAGGATGGTTGGTAGGTGTGCCTCGAGGTGACCAGTCCAGTGCTTACCCTATAGTACCACATCAGGGCTCAGGATTATTAGAAAGGCAGATTCTCAGCCCCCATCCCAAACTTCCTGAATCACAATCCGCATTTTTGCAGGATGCCCAGGTATACACACTAATGTTTAAGAAGCCTGCTTTAAATGCTGCACAGAATCACAACTTCAAGCACAGCTTCCTAAGAGGGAAAGAATTCACAAGTCAGTCCCCATTTAGTTTTAGCTCTCAACTGGATGATACAACTAAATTGCCACAGTGAGAGTTAAAATTACAAGTCTCTCTGTGGTGATTTCTAACTCCTAAAACAACTGCAAAAAAAAAAAAAAAAAAAAAAGATTCAAATGTATTCCTTTTTAAGTGAAGGAGTCCAGCTGAAATATACAATAAGAGATGTTGTTGGCTAAAGAAATGGAGGCACGGAAAGACACAAGAGGACTACAAAAGTTAAAGGTAAATACTGTTAACCACTGAACATTGCAATGATGGTGCTCTACAGACAGCTGCCTGGATAGACAGACAGACAGACTGACTGGGTTTGGGAGCAGACCCACAAATATACATTGTTGTTGTTGTTGTTAATGTGCCGTGGAGTCGGAACCGACTCATAGCGACCCTGTACAGGGTTTCCGAGGGTGTAAATCTTTACGGGAGTAGAAAGTCTCATCTTTCTCCCGCGGAGCAGCTGGTAGTTTCGAACTGCTGACCTTGCGGTTCACAGCCCGAGTCGTAACCACTACGCTACCAGAGCTCCTACAAATATACATAGGTGTGACAAAAGGCTATTTACATTTGCTGCATATAATCCACGTATGTGGTAAAGCATAAAGGGGTCAGGTTATAAAAACTCTTTAAACAGAACCACACAACTTGAGGGTGGGGGCCTGAGAGCTTAGGAACACAGTCTCAGGGGGCATAAGGTCAACTGGCATAACATAGTCTCCCCAAAGACTGTGATTTACAGTCCACTTTGGTAAATAGTGAGTGACCATTTAAGGTGCAGCTATTGGTCTCTCTCTGACCGGAGGAAAGGTGGGTGATAAAGAATTGAAGACCCATGGAAACTATCGTCCAGTGAACTAAAAGGGCCACGTGAACATCGGTCTCAGCCCATGACCCTGAGACCAGAACGAGACGGTACCCAGATAACCCTGCCACTGCTCTGGAAAGGATTGCATTAAAAGGTCTTGGATAGAGTGGGAGAAAACTGTGGAACAAAATTCAGTATTGTGAAAAGACCAGGCTTATTGGTCAGATAGGCACTGGTGGAACTTCGATACTATGGCCCCCAGTCACCTTCAGGTCTGGAACTGAACTCACCCCTGTGGCTCAATTTTCAGGCCAACACTGAGTTCTGATGTGGTGCTGTAGGATAAGCACTGGACTGCTAACTACAAGGTTAGTGGTTTCTGAGCCACTCCTCAGAAACCCTATAGACAGGGTTGCTATGAGCCAGATTCCACTCGACAACACTTAACAATAAGGGGAACACCACCACAGTGAGATAAACACAACTTAGAATAATTAACCATTTGAGATCAAGGTTAGGAGAGGAGGAGGAAGAATAGAGATGGGAAACGCATAGCGGCAGTGGAGTGTGATGGTACACTGAGAAGACTGCCATCAATGACATGAAGCAAATGTGCGTGAATTGAATGCAAAACTGATGTTCTGCTTCACCCATTACAAACATAATA